ATAGCGAAAAATAAAATTTAAAATTTCCACTTTAACACCCTGTATCTTTATTAATATAAACAGTTTATTAAAGCAACTTGACTTAAATCGTAATACTATAAAGTGTAGAATCTACGGTTTCTTTTTGTACAACTACTTAAGGGCCGCCGTGTATATAGAGCGTCTTGTTATATTCTTGTAGCTTTCTTCTATGCCTTCGTCTACATCGCTATTTACCTAACATTCCCTTTCTAGGTACCGTTTCATTACTTTTGCTTTACTTTGACTGTGAATGTTACCATTTTTTCACAATATAATAGGGGAAAGGTTTTTTTGAAGTTTTCTCTAGAAATTTTTTATAGTTTTTACAGTCCTGGTTTGAGTTTTGTTAATCTATGCATTTCCCACCTTTTTGTTTCTGTGGTCCATAAGTATTTATTTTACTAGGTTTTGCTTAGTTTGCATCATTTAAACAGTTTTTTCTTTGCAAGTCGTCCTGATTTTTATTTTGATTTGCTCCTTTTATATTCTATTATTCTCCCCCAAGAGATCTGATATATTTTGCTAAATTTTTCTTTTATCTTTGGAACTTCTTTCAAAGTGGTTCTATCAATTTATATATTCTAGTACAAAATATTTACTTTAGTAAGTTTCGCCATAATAAAAACATTTAGGTACTTTTTAACGTGCTGATTACGGAATCGATGTCGAACTCTTTTTTTGCAATTAAAGTACTGAGTATAGCCCCTGTACGTCCATTTTTTTTTTGTTCTACAAAAAACAGTACAAAATCTTTACTTTAGTAAGTTTCGCCATAATAAAAACATTTAGGTACTTTTTAACGTGCTGATTACGGAATCGATGTCGAACTCTTTTTTTGCAATTAAAATATGGAGTATAGCCCCTGTACGTCATTTTTTTTGTTGTTCTACCTCTGAATAATAGACGATTGACGATTGAAAGAGGTTTCTTATTGCCCTTTGTTGATTTAAAGTTGGTGACATAGATTGATTTTGCGTGTCGTTCTTTTAATTCATCTTTTATTTTCTCTGTGTCCATGTTACCTGTTAATCATCTGATAATTATTTTGGCCTGTATGTTCTTATAAAGTGAAAAGGTTATTTCCTTTTGCAACTATCGATAAATCAGTTTCTCACGGAATAAATTAGAGTTCTTAACATGAATAACAATTTACTTTTTCTCAAAAAATAATAATTTATAAAAAACTTGCCTAATAATGAGTAAAGTCTGGATGCTCTAAAAAATTGTTAAATATGCATGCAACATGCACTTTACAAATAACCAAATATACCTTTATTATATGCAATCTGCATTTATATATGCACAAAAAAATAGTTTTTAATTTTTAGGGCTTGAGATTTGGTGAGAAATAAAATTATATTATAACTTAGAGATTATTGCTTATTTATTACTATATTTAATGAAAAAACATAAATGAAAATTCACAAGAAAATATCCTCGTTCTTGCTGTTACAGTTTATAATCATAAAATGTACAATATTTTTTAGAGTAATGTTATGGCTTTTATCAGTTAATATGTGTTTATACGAAGAAAACGATCTTTCAACATCACAGGATCTAATTGGCGAAAACCTAAAATTTGACACCAGAGAGGGATCTATATTCATAACTTCGTTAAAACTTCGCTAAATGTATCTTTAATGTTTTTTTCAATTGTTCCTTAAAGATTTGCTATTCTTTCTTTGACAGAAACAACAATGCAAATACTATCATTTAAAGATAATTTTTGACTTTTTAGTTTTGTAATAGAGTTTACAATTATGTCAAAATTAGCTTTTATATAGGATAGTTCATTCTGAACAGAATACTCACTAAAAATATTTTAACATTTCTGAACAGCAATCAAACTAGAGGAATCAAAATTTGATATAACATTTTTGATATCAATATAATTATTTGCAAGAAATATGGCACTATTTAACCACGTCCCCCATCTATTCAATACTGGTTCCGGTGGCAAAGGGATATTGGAAAGCATCTCCCCATATACATCTACCCGCAATGGTGCTTTTAAAAATACTTTCTTTACATTGTTGATTAAAGTGTTTACATTTGGAAACTCGAGCCTAACTTTCTTTGTCACCCTGTTTAAACTATGCGCTAAGCATATACCATGAATCAAATTCAGAAAAAAATCTTAAGACTAGTAACAGCTTTAACCATGTAGGAAGCGGAATCGCTAACTAGTAGCAAAATGTTTTCAGAAGGTACTCGATTCGGTGAAAAGAAATTTGTCAAAGATTCATTAACAAATCAAGCAATTGTTGCATAGTTGGTTTTTTCTAAATATTTTACGCTAATTTTAATACGACTTGTTGGAGTCATCAGCTGAACTGTTTAAAACTCCAATAATTAAATTCGCGATTTGCCGACCCTTGGTTTCAGTAGTCTCGTCGACAGATATCCACAGATATTCGTCTCTCACCCGGCTTTTAATACCTTCAATAACGTCTTTGTAAGATGCCCTCGCATATTTCTTGCGAAAAGTTGAAGAACTTGGTACCTGTACTGACTTATTTTCAACTTTACAATATGTTTTCAAAAAATTTTGACACACACACCTTGCTATCCAATTTATACAGTAGGATATTGCACCTTACAAAAAAATTGCATACATCTTTTGCAAACATTTCTTGTCCCCTCGATGTGAAATGATTTTGAATAATGTTGTTCTTCAGAAACTGCTGGCGTTGTTTCTTGAAGTCCGTAGATAGTTTATATTGGAGGAGAGCCGTTTTAAGGTGTTGGGAAATTTGGATTTTTTTCACATGAAACCTGTAATAAAACGGTTTAGTTAATAGGAGTCTAATGCAATAATATGGACTTCAAATTTTTAAAATACCTTATATTTTTTTCTCGAAACTAAAACTACCGCCAATAGTCAAACTGATACCTACATGTTTAATATAGGTATACCAATTTTCTTGCAAAAATGAGATTTTAAATTAAATTTTTGAATCGTTAAAAGACAAGTGGATTCACCTTTTTATCACAAATAGTACAAAAAATACTTTCATTGTTTATAATCTTCATTTTACTGTTACCACCAACCCAACTCCGCAATAGACTTGATTTTTGTTTCGCTGCTTTCGGCATATTTACAAATAAGAAATTATTTTTATTTTATAAGCACAATATTCACAATCACAAGTTGCTTTGCCAGTTTTTTATATAGAAAACCATTTTATTTATGTGATATTTTCAAGTATGTGGCAATATGCTCTTAATCATGTAAATATGAATAGCATATGCATTTATAAAGAAACCCACGAATATGCTGCATATATATGTACATGCATTTTGCATATAATCCAGTATCTAATAATGAGTTGTATGAAAGTATTTTTTTTTTATTCCAAAATAATTATCTTGTCGTAAACGTTAGGATTGTTGTACAACTGTCGGAAAATGTAGCTTTCTTATAAAAGTATTTTTCTTTCTTTACTACATTCTCAACACGGATGCTAGTAATCAGTCCATAGCGTATCTTTTTATAGTATCGCATACAGCAAGCAGTTTAATCCGAAAAACTATAAAATGGCGAAGAGGTTTTATCGCCTAATAACTCTTGGAACATTACACTGTTTTACGATACGTTTAAATGTTTTTTCTCGTTACACGCTCGATTTGGATAAAAAAGTTCCTGTGTAGAAATTGAGGACCTCTAAGTGGCACTTTAACTGATATATTTTTACGAATACACATTTAGATATGGGGAAGCCGGATATGTTTTTAAAAGCGAATATTTAGCTATAGGAGGACAGATTCAATAAATTTGAAAAAAGATTTTATTATAAAACTGAATGGCCAAAGTCGCATAATTTTATGGTCACTTGCAAGACACGGATATTTTGTGATTTTTAACTCTTTTTAAGTTTTACCTTTCCGTTTTAATTTGCATATTTGGTATCGTTTTCTCTATAAACTCATATATAAGATTTATTTACATACTAATATTAGTAATATCACCAGATTTAAACCGTTGATGTAAAAAGACTTTATTTTCAGTAGTAATATCCCTAGGACATTGATAACCTACGAGATAATTTCATGACAATCGAAAGCTCGTTCCTCAAGCAACGAGCTTGAGAAATTTGTCATTAAATTATGAGGCATTCATCAATGTCCGAGGGATATTCGGCGGATAATTTTTCGAAAAAAAAAATCATAACTCAACATAACGAAACATTTATTTATTAAAAGAACAGTTAGTGAAAGTACAATTATTAAAATTTAACTTAACATTAGATTCGTGAAAACGTGACATTTTGAAATTTATTTGGATGAAGTTGTCAAACTCGATCGTGTTATCATAGGGATTGAAAATTGCACTTAGTGCAATTATCAGTCTAATGTTGACATGATTGGGTGAAATTGTTCCACATGACACAAAATGACGAAATTTGAATGGTTGTTAGAACAGTCGAAAAATTATAATAGTAATGAACAGTCACTAGTATCAACGATTTTTCTTATATCTTGTAACCGTTGAACGACTCATCATAGAGGGTGGGTATCAATAGGTAACAATACAACTAATTTCCGAAAGTTAGGAGACAATGTGTAACCGTAAAGCTGTAGGTTTTCACAAACTTTAACCCGCCGTTACACGCGCTATGAGGGAATACCTCAACATATTTGTTTATAACCAATGAAATTGTCTTGACTAATACGATAACTTTGACCACCGAGGAATGCCTTTATCATCGTTCATGAGAGGGTATAACAAAGTTTTAGAATATTTTATGCGGTCAGTATGCCGTGATACTAGAAAGACGTGACATCCCCCTTTAGGGGAGCGTATTCCTCACTGCGCGTGAAATCACGGTGATATCACGTTTCTGTTAGCTCTAAGAAACTTTTAGGTTTTTGTTTAATATTTAAGTTTAATTAAAATATTATTGTTTGAAAAAGAAAACTCCAGTTTCTCCAGATAAATTCAGAAGAATATTAACTGTAGAATATTCCAAAACTCCAAAATGGATACATGTCAAGCGTCCGATAAGTTTTTAGTAGGTTTAGAAAATTTCAAGTTACAAAATGATGAAATTGAGGTTGAAAAAATTAAAACTCAACAAGAATTACATTATAGAAAAGCCAAATCAGGTCATCAGGCATTAAGGGATGCAATATTAAACCCAGATGTGCATGCAATAAGTTTTGATCTACAGCTAACCCTTTCCACACCAAATCTTGCCACTGGTCCCATATTCTATAAGAGAAAACTGCGGTGCTATAATTTAAGCAAACATTCCCTTGGAGATAGTCAAGGTCACTTTTTTATGTGGGATGAATCCACTACTAAAAGAGGGTCGGACGAAATAGATAGCTGTCTCAAAATGTAGTTTGAGAAAAATAATATTCGTGGCAGAAAATTAATAGCTATTTCAGACAATTGCTGCGGACAAAATAAAAACTGAAGCATCATTGGTTTTTGGCTTTATCTTTAACAGAATGACCGTTTTAAAAAATAGTTCATAATATGAACCTGAGGAAATATATTATATTTCCTCAGGTAAAACATATAATGTTGCCAAGTAACAGAGACTTTTCTGTTCTAGAAAATTACGTCAAGAAAACTTGTGAAATGGTCTATTCGCCCAATCAGTGGGAAGATATTTCAAAGAAGTGTCCGAAGAAGAAAAAAAACCTTTTCCAGTAACTAGGGTCCAGCAAGAGAATATATGAATGTTCAGTACTGAAAAGCTATTTTGATCAACCGTTAGGTATTTTACAAAATAGTGCAAAATTATGCCTATCGTTAGAAGTCTCCAAAAATATAAAATATTCAGCATCATACAACGGATTACTTAATTCCATGTCCTTGAATAAAAGAGGAAGACCAACAGCTGTAAAAGAAAAATTTTCTACACTTACTAAAAAATATTTTCGTCCCCTTAGTATTCTTCTAGAAAAACTGAAAGATGCAAAATCAGTCTTGACATGGAGTCCAGCTGTTAATTAAGAAGGGTATATAAATTTAAAATAAACTACTAGTACCTACCAAATTATGTTGTCAACACCACTTACCAAGTTGCGTTAAACTTTTTTAAATATTTTAGATAAATAATATTAAGTTGCAGTACATAATTTCACATTTTCCTCAATAAACATTGTAAAAAATATTTGGTACTTTATACTTTGCCTATTAATCAACAACATAATTAGCAAATTTTAGCATGATTCATAGTCTTATATTTTTTTTATAAAATGGAATATTTTTCCAAAATTCAACACTACAAAACTTAAATCTTCTTTATTGTATCTTACCATTTTTTACTGCCGGATTTCTCATACGTTAGAAAGAAAAAAACTATAAAAAATGAATCTAATAGGAATATATTAAAAGTATTGAAAGTATAAATAAAAGAACAGCTATAGATCCGACCTGCTTAAAAAGTCAGGTAGACTAGAAGTAATTTGTTACAATAAAAATTTTGATTAAATTTTTAAATTTGTGTGTTTTTCTTAACAGTTTTAGAAACACTCTTTAACTTCATCTTTTAGATTATTTCTTGGATATACTTTTTGCACACTGTATAGCGGTCATCACCGTCGCCCTTTCAATGGGCTGTTTGTTGTAACCACAAATTTTCAAGATCAAAGCTGTCCCAGATTTATTTAAACTTTAACCCTTTGATGACTCCCATTCAACCGGTAAGTAATTCCCGAGCAAATGTAAACGACGGTTATACCTTAAGACGAAGCGTTAAAAAGAACTGGGGTCTTTTGAAAAAAAGGAATTTCTAGATAATTTTATATATAGTCCCTTAAAAACTCTGTTTTTATATTTTGTCTAGAAACGTTATAATATAATATAATGTAATGTCATATTTATACTAGATTCTTAAACAAAAAAATAATAGATATAATCAACCTAGAGTATTAATATTTCATATGAGAAATTGTATTTTTATAAAATAATTTGTCAATATGACAGTTTTTAAATAGGTTAAACTTCAAAACTAATTGGTGCGTAAAACTTGCAATAAATACAAATTTAAAAGATGGCACATAGTTATGCAAAACATGCTTCAGACAAAGTTTATAAGGTCCAATGAAAAAATGCGTTAATAATTTTGTAGGAAACATAACACAGTAAACACAGAAAAGAGGTAAATATTCCTAAGAATGTCTAGCTTGTTGAAAACATATTATCTATAACTAACAATAGCATAACATATAACTAAAAATATTTACACAAAGGTCATAATTTAGCATCAATTAACGTTAAAACAAAAAACCTATGATAAACATCAAAGGGACAGAGATAGAATACGTAAATGAATATACATATCTGGGCGAAATGTCAAGATAAACGAAGAAAATCATACTACCGAAATAAGTAGACGTGTGAAAATGGGATGGGCAGCATTCGGAAGATTCTCATACGTAATTTAAAATAAAAATGTATCTCAAAGACTGCGAACCAAAGTGTTTAATTCTTGTATCCTACCTGTACTTGCATATGGTCTATTTTCTGGTCATTTTCTAAAATAAACATTGGGAAGATCAGAAAAACTCAGAGAGCTATGCAATGACAGATGCTGGGTATCTCACTAAAAGACCATAAAACCAATAAAGACATTCGTAATAACACAAAAGTAAAAGATGCTGCCGAACAGGCAGCTACATTGAAATAGAAATGGGCTGGACATAACTAACGTCTTATGGATGACCGATAAAATAAAGAAATCGGCGGCCATATGAAGCCAAAAGACCAGGAGGAAGACCGCAAAGACTGGAGCGACGATATTAAAATAACTGCAGGGCCAATGTGAAAGCATTTTACAAACAATAGATATAAATGACGAGAATGGGAAGAGGCCTATATTTGGCAATCCGAATAGAGAGAAGAGCTTAAACAAACGTTAAAACAAACACACAAAACATTTACTTATATAATTTGACAAATCACAGACAATCACAAAACAATTCCAAGTTGTCACAGTATCGTGCCCACGGTATGCGTGTTACAGTGATAAGTGGTGCCTAAAACGAAGCTGTCAAAGTTTAGAAAATTGATATCTTAGCTCATTCAAAGCACAGTGACCCTTAACCCTTAACCCGCCGAAACAAAAATGGACAATGAGATAATAATAAAGAAAAAAAGATGGCTCAGAAGAGGACTTGGGCACGAGTGACTTTTTTGAGTAGCAAAATATATCGTGAATGATCAGAGAAGCGACCTATCTCTCTTTCTGTCATAAATATATAGCCAAATAATCTAATAAGAGAAACAAACTCTAGCACATTTAAAAAACGCCTCAATTAAAAGAAGGCCAAAATAAAATCAAAAGCAACTGCTAGGAGGTTGACAAAAAAATCCACACAAAGCTAAAAGGGCGAAATTGGTAAAGTCTTATCTTAAAATATCTTAAAAGAATATAATAACCCTCTGCAACAAAAGTCTGTAAAAAACCTTAGAACTCTAGTGAGCAGAGATATTGTCATATAGCAATGTTAAAAATTTATTTAAGATGGCAGTAGTACTCAGATACCATCTTAAAACTCAAATATATCAGTCTTAAGTTATTCTGACTAATACCAAACTAAAACCATCAGTAGAATAGGCTTTTACAGGAATTCAAAATCGACTTATACAGTTGCACAAAACAATGTTTTGTGCAAGGATACTGCAAATAAACTGTGTTGTGCTGTTAATTTGGTAAAGACCATGGAGGGTCTACAAAGGGAACCAGCGTTAACTTGACTATAGTTGATCTCAATAATATGCAAAAGGGTTCGTAGCTTTCTTCCCCTAACAAGGGACTCATAAATGAAATATCATTAAGACTTAAATAAAGAAACAAAATCAAAACATTAAAACAAAAGACTGGATGCACAAATCTTTGTATTCGTGGTAGAAAAGTCTCTTCCAAGGCATTGAGGGTGGCTTAATCTAAGGTATGTTTTAGATTTAGAAGGGTATCTTTCAGAACAATCGTACGCCTTGATGCCTACAATCAGAGTCATGCAGGCGAACCTCTAGCATAGTAGGGTGCCGTTGGTGAATTTTTGGTTCGGGCCCTTCTCCTTTTAGGTTTGGGGCCGCCTATGTTGGGCATTATTGCTCTATGAGCTCCCATTGCAGCCGCTTTCTACGTGGCCGTACACATCACTACCCGCAAATGCTCGCCTCAATGCTCTCATTGGTATGGAGATTTACTCCCAAGTACTTAATGCACTTTTTTGGAGTGATATCAGTACCAAATATAACATTTTCGCGTTTTCGTCGTCCCTTCAGGATCACGGCCTCGGTCTTTTTCTCAGCTAGTTTAAGACGCGCTGAGGAGAAAACCCCGTCATATGCCAGGTTCCATAGCTTTGGGCCAAGGACGGAGGCTTGTGGCACTCTAGTCGTAACATCCAAAATCACACTCTTTCCAATCAGCATTCTTCTCTTCGATAGATAGTCCGAGATCAAGTTCCTCAAGTGGTCAGAAAAGTTTGTTTTGTTAACCGCTCTTATCACTGTTCCCCATTGCAGTGAATTGAAGCCGTTCTGACCATCTAGTAGGAGTAATGCAGCCCATTTTTTTGTCGCGAGTCTCTATCTTTAATGCTCGGTAAACTCCCAACACTACATCAGTCGTGTTAACATTCTTACGGAAACTATTTTGTCTACGGGATAAGCCTCTAGACCTCTCAATTGCTTCATCGAATATCCCGCTCAGCATTTTTTCAAACAGTTTACAAATACAAGATAGAAAGCAAATAGGTCTATATTTGACCTTTTCTTTAGACAGGAAAATTAGTTTCGATGTTTTTCAGTCTGCGGGAAAGCTCTGTCCAACGAGGATAGCGTTCATGTGGCCCAATAGCCACACAGGCTCCAGTAGGACCAGGTGTTTAATTGCCTCAGGCGGTATCCCATCTAGGCCCGGGGCCTTCCGCTACTTAAGGGCCTCCAACGCTTCAACGAGTTCATTTACGGTGCAGGCTTTAGCTTGTTCAGCAGACGCATCACTACGCACTTCATTCCATTTGCCAGATGAAACGAGCTTCCGTGTTAACGAGAGTTTCTTAACCAGCGCCATTTTGTATAGAGGGTACGCGTCAAAACGCTTCATTACAATTATTTTATATCCTTAACCCCGTCCTTATTCAGCTAGTAGCACAGACGTACCAAGCATTCTTTTTTACTAAAGCGAATGAGCCTAGTACCCTCTTCTGTGCACGACATTCATTTTCCATTTGCAACATCTTATTAACATTTGCTCTACGTCTCCGCGCACACTGTAACCTGCAACATATTGCCGCGCATTCCATCTTAGCATTCACAATCTCAGCATTCCACCAGTAAGGCATTATCCTTACCCTTTGTGAGTCTACCTTACTGGAC